AATAAAAGCATGGAAAAAGTACTCCAATCAAATGGAACCAGGAAACATGCAGGCATTGCTATCCTAATATTTGACAAAATAGACTTCAAACTAAAATTAATCAGAGAAGATAAGGCAGGTCACTTCACACTGATCAAGACAATTACTTAACTATGAAAATGTCATGGCCTAAGGGCATATGTACCAAATTCTGGTGCACTTAATTTTACAAAAATGTCCTACTAGATTTAACATGTAGATTAATCTCAACCCATTAATAGTAAGTGATTTCAGTACCCATACTTTCTCCAATAGACAGGTCATCTGGACAAAAAATGAATAAAAGTAAATATTTAAAAAGGAAGGTATCTTCAAGACATGGCAGAGAAGCTGCAACGACAAGACATCAACATATGGTATGGTTGTTCAAATAAGAGCTGAACAACAACAATGCCCATCAACATGGATGGATGAGTTGACATAAGTTCACCACTCTGTGAAGAGCTACAATCCATTCGTGGCTGCTGAGAGAGGGGGAATAAGTTTTTTCAAGAAAAAAGCCTCCTGATAACTTATCCAGTCCCAAATCGTGAGCCCTAAGCACATGAGGTAGAATGTGAATTGAATCAGTAGGGTTTTTTTTTTTTTTTTTTGTGTGTGTGTGTGGGTGTGTGTGTGTGTGTGTGTGTGTGTGTGTGTGTGTTTGTATGCTTACTTAGCAATAATAGAGGTGAATTTGAAAGGGATGGGGCTTGAGAAGAGTTAGAGAGGAAAGAGAGAAGTGTGGAAAGGATGTAAATACAGCATTCATGTATAAAATTCTCAAAAAAAAGAAAATTAAAAAGGACCCCTTTTAACCTAACGCATTTATTTATACATGAGATTGTCTAGTTCCCTTCACATTTTGACCCTCCTGAACTTGAGTCAGTACTGTAGGAGAGAAACAAGACCCCCGTTTTCCATTCCTCCTCCCCCTTCTTTCTTTTCCTCTGTCAATAAAGGCCAGACACAGGTTAGCACAAGCATCAGTCTTCATTCTATGTGTCCACAGGGAGGCTAGAGATAGCTTTTGGAAGAACAAATTGGACTTGTCCAAGGGTAAGTAGTAAGGAGCCATAGCTCAGAAGGTGGTCCAGCAGAGGGAAGCACAAGGAATTTCTCCTTAGAGCTAGCTCTATGAAAGAGCAGAGCTTCGGTTATAATCTTCTGGGATCTGGCTAGCTAGCCAGTACTTTGGAATTCTGATGAGGCAGAATCTCGGTATGAATCTCCCTTGAGAAAGAACAGAAAACTGTGTGGGGTATCAGTGTGTGTGCTTTAGGGCTTGGTACCAAGCGCCAATAACTCTCCACAAGATAAATCTCCCGTGCCCCCTTTCAGAGCTCAATCTGACTGTGAATTTGTCTGGACTCCATTCCTGGAAGCACCATCTGCTAGTGATTGTCCTACCATCTGACCATTTACCCTTTGTCAACCACCCTCCTCCGGGCAACCCCACTACCAGTTGGAGTCTACCCATTGTCCAATTTGGAAAAACTGAGTGTGAAGATAGACAAAAGAGAAGAGAGGGAGGAGGTAAACGCTGTAATGTACAGGTATCCGAGGCCAAGATATGTTGTGGGAAGGCCTCGAGTCTTTGCTCAGAACCTGGGGAAGGAGCATGTGGCCAAGCCAGAGCCATATTGTGTCCCAGGCAGCCTGATGGTTCCACAAATAATATTGATGCCTTTTGTTTGGAAACTTTTGTGGCGGCTTCCCACTTTCCAATAAGCCGTGGCAAATGCTGGGCCTCCCCCCAAACCACTTTGCCTTTTGCACGGTCCCTGGCCAACTGTGCAGATGAGGCCCCTCAATGCTAATGAGGGGAAGGGCTGGCATTCCTGAGGCACCCTGCACTGGGAAGCCCGCCTTTGTTGCTAAGGAGCATTGGAACTGTAGCTGAAAGGCTCATGAAGACAGGGAGTGAGAAGAGGGAGAGAAGAAAGGCATGCATTTGTTTCCAAAGCTTTACAGTGCTCCAGCCAGAACCAAAGCTCTCCATTTTCGGGTCCTAGTTAGAATATCACCTTCTCCTTACGGTTGCTCTTAATGATTGGAAATTCCTCAGAAGAGTCAGAGAACACTTAGCAAACTCTGGACTGTGCTGTTGCTTCTGTTATGCTTTTGCTTCTGTGAACACACCACCCCCAGATGGCTGGAGAATGCTCTTTGTTTCTGATTCAGAGGGGTGATGGAACTGGAGAAAACACCTGGGGTTTGCTAATGTTCATGAGTGAGCTTCATTCAGTAGGTTGCATACCAGTGGCCCACTTGGTGAAGGATCTGGGCTTGGGGCTGGTGACAAAGATGAAGAGACTCTGCTCCAGCTTGGATTTGATGCCAGGCTTGCTGGAGACTAGGGTCACTCATACTGGAGTGTTCTGCACGTTGTTTGCTGTCTGTGTGGCCTGCATGACATTGCTGGACATGGAGTTTTCATAACAGTTTTCCAATCCTGGCTCAGTCACTCTCACTAGGACTGTTAGAGCCTATGTGAATACAGTAATACCTTGAGCTTAAGTTTCTCAACTGTAGGATGGGGATAGTAATGCCAACCCATTTTTGGTACTAAGAAGAGCAATTACAGGCAGGAGAATAATATAAAATACAGTTTCTACCGACCAGGAAGGACCTCTGTGAATGAGCCAACTGCTAGTTTCAATATCTGGAAAAGACTAATGATTAGGCCTGTTGCTTGAAGGTAAACAGAAATGCTGTATAAAAAAATAAAGCACATTTTTTTCTCCTCTGTGGTACTTCTCTGAGGTGTGCAAGGTATAGTGCTAAGCTATTGATGCAGTATCTCATTTAATATGAATGAATTGCTGTTGTTCTGTTAGTGAATTACTCAAGGCTGTATGGTATGAGAGAGACTTCCCTTGGTGAGATAATGCCTTTGTCTTCTAATTTTTCCATCTTTTAAACTTGTAGTTCTTGGAAAATTAGGACACACACACAGAGAGAGAGAGAGAGAGAGAGAGAGAGAGACACACACACACACAGGATTGTCTCTAAGATTAGTGCATACTGTCACCCACTTAGGTAGGTTCTACTGCAGGGAACTTATCAATCAACAGACACTGGGCTCTACTTCTCCATGTTTATTAGAATTCAACAATGACACACGGGAGTATTCAACATGCTACTATCTGGGAATAATACTATCTGAGAATAATAGAAAACAACAGAGGTCACAACGACATTCTTAAGTATAATGACATCATAGCCTATTGATGCTTATGTCCATTTGTTGCCTTCATAGCAGACTTCATATAACCTCTACTGTCACATTGTTACCATGATAAATATGCTTCTCTCTGAAGTTAAATTTTGTTTCTTTAATTTTTACTCAGACAAAAGTAATGAATATATACATATAACACATAAACACGGAGAGACACACAGACAGACAGACAGATACACACACACACACACACACACACACACACACACACACACACACACACACCCTTCCCAACAGATACACACACACACACACACACACACACACACACACACACACACACACACACCCCATTCCCTTTTTGCAAGAACTCTAACCATCATATGGGCATTTGGCCTGACTTTAATTGGAGTCATATCAGATAGTTTTAGTCAGAACCCCCATCACCATCTCTGATGCCTTGTATTCATCCTGCCTTTTTTTTTTATCATTGTCTGTAAGTTCCTATTTCTTCTTGGCATATTGGAGTTGAGCCCAATATCTCTCCTTTAGGGCACAACTCCCTTGAAGTAGTCCCTATGCCACTGTGATAGTTCTAAATAAAGCCTGTCTTATTGTTCTTTTAAATAACATACATTTTATTAATTCTTAGAGAATTTAATACAATATTTTATGATCGTATTTACCCCTTTTCCTCTCTGTAGTGCTACTTCATGTCTCCATTTGTTTTAAAACAACAACAACAACAACAACAACAACAACAACAACAACAACAACACACACACACACACACACACACACACACACACACAGAGAGAGAGAGAGAGAGAGAGAGCTTGGGAGTAAAGCAGTGAAGAACTCCAGGTAGGTGATAATTCAAAAGCAATTGTTATTTGGAACTAGAAGAACAAAATATATACCAAAATTTGTTTTGGTATGGTAATGGCCTGACTCTGTTACTCCACACAGATCATTTGTTCAGTTTTTTTGAGATTTCCTGAGAGTTTATGTTTCCTGCATGCAAGGAGTTGTAAAAATGGCATTGCTTCCAGTGTTTATCACACTCTTTCAAGGAAGTCTAAGTTACTTTCTTCTTGTAGATGAAGAAACTTAAGTTAAGGGAGATTAAGCCACTGCCAAGTCAACTGTGTATTGAATGGCTTTTAGCTGTTCTTAGAGCTTGGTCCTCATCTATTCTTAGTGTAATCTAAATGGTGAGGGTGGAAACTGTGGGTTATGATTTGGCCATGGTTTCCCTCCATGAAGAAGTATTCTGCCATCCAATACTATGGAAGTACTGGTTACAATCTACCTGCAGTCTCACGGTTCTGGGAACACCTGTTACACTGCAGTCTATGTAAAATGAGCTCAATCCATTTACATCATTTGGTTACTAAGGTCACAGATCAAAAATAGAAAATACTGGGCAAGGCAAAACTCTTGCTTTTGAGGATTATGATTTAGTTTATTATTCCAATCTCAAATCAGATTTAGAGCTCCCTCTATCCCTGCTGCCTCTCCTGCCCACCTGCCCAGAGATAAAGGGTCTACCAGGATCCAGAACTCCTGGTTCACAGTCTGGAGCTTTCTTACTCTTTACTTTTCTACCTGCTTATCTGTGAATGAAACTCAGATTTGAGTGAGACATCTTACTGAGATATCAAAATTGGGGAAACTTCTGGTACTTAGTAGGTGTACTGAACAATTAGACCTAAAACCCTCATTTTTTTTTTTTTTTTTTTTTTTTTTTTTTTTACTTAGCAAGTTGGCAGAGTGAGAAAGTTATCTCTGTCTTTACTCCATTGACTTATAAGGCACATCTAGGGGTTCCGGAATTTAAGTTGGTAAAAACTAAAGAGGTTATTTTAAAGGATCTAGGGGCTTTTGTTCTTGAAAGTTTGTTCATGAGATGTCATGAGAAACCTCACTAAAAATGGACAATATGGCATTCTCAGAGGCCATTTCCTTAGATTGTTCCCTGACATGGCCCAACTTATTCAACTTATCCCCTATAATATTCAAGGCTAACATCCAGATCAGTGGATTAGTGATTGCATTAGTGATGGTCCTGGGGACATCTTATCTCTGAAGTCTTCAGTGAACCTATGGCTATCTCTGTTGTACTTAGGAAGGGAAGAACCAGAGAATATGTTCAAGATAGAACTCCATGGTTGGTGGAAACTACCAGGTATTCCTGCCCTGAGAGAGCACAGCATGGTCCTGCAGCCTAATCCCAGGCATACTTCCTTGAAACTTCTCTTGGGCACTCTGAGATATATTCCTGTAGACACTGCCCACATTGCCCTGGAGAAGATGCTGCACTTACACAGAAAATACTAACTTGAAATTATCATACTGCTTCCTGTTCGGTGTCAATAGTTTTATTTTTCTTGTAGTGGAAATCCTTCCTAAAATAGTGACTGGTATATGGACCTATTTACCTAATGGGAAATTATGTATTGGAGCTCTCAGGAAGCTGAGGCAGTAAGATTACAAGTTTAAGGACGATCTGGACTATATATTTAGACTCTGTCTCAAAACCAAACCCAGCAAGACCTATTGAGGTGTACTCTGCATCAGATATTCTACATGCTTTTTGACATAAAAACAATTTGTTATCAATGTAGAAAAATAGCAAACACATGGATAATAAACACAGTAAGAACAGAAGGGAGCTTTAAGTGCTTGGACTCTTGTTATATCAGAAGAGAAAGCTGATTATTGTAAACAGCTCCTCATCATATACAAGTCCAAGTCAAAAGTGACTAGGACAGCTACATCTGCCTCAGCTCAAACAAAGCCTCTACCCCAGTGCTCAGACTGAGGAGAAACATAAGTCCAGGTAAAGGGGAGATGAAAGAAACATCCATTCCCAGTGCATGCTTGTTTTCACAGCTCCTTTAAGTACCTCAGTGCTGGCTTCAAGATTACATTTTCTCCAGAACCAAATCTTGTCAAGGCCTGGTCAATTCTCTGAGGACTCAGGTACAAGTTGAATATGAGATTGTAGTTGTGGATGAGGCGCCCGGCTCTCTCCTTCTCCAGAAGTCCTATGATGACATTGGTAGATCAAGGTTTTTTTTTTAATTTTTTTCTTGAGGAATGGAGAATCAAGCAAAGATATCTGTTAGCTTGAATAAATTGTAGGTAAATGCTAAACACTAATGTTTTAAGACTTTAAAGTTATTAAAATTGACAAGATATTTATAGTTTTGGACATGGCTTACAGCTCTTAGGAGGTGACTTTGGAGTAGAATAAAGCAGATGGTTCAGGTAACACAAGAGGTAATGAAGGAGCAGAAAGGTTGAGTCAGGGGAAGAATAGAAGAAAGGATATGTGATAGGTAGGGTTTTAGTGGGGAGGGTCATAGGGGAGGACGGGAGGGAGAAGGGAATTGGGATAGTCATGTAAATAATCAATCTTGTTTCTAATTCAAATAAAAAAATCTGAAAAAAACCCACAAATATGTTCTAAAGAATTTAAGCTTATTCTTTATATCAGACATTTAAGTGCCAATTTTCAAAGAAGTGGTGTGTGTGTTAAAGTTCTTAAATATTCTTTTTTTTTTAACAAAGTAACTATGGATGTTCTGAAATATGTAGGTGTTAAACTGCTCCTTCCTGATACACATTTCCTATGACTTTCTCCAACTAACCTGTGTGATAGAAGTGTGGATGCATAGCAAGCATTCTGCCACCCATATGTCATATGCCTTAATGATGACAATATCATCATGCTTTCTCCATGAAAGCTGGGTGGTGATAGTTGCAGAAAGGATTGTAAGTGTGGATCACAGTATCAGTAATGATGACTAACTGGTTCATAAGCCTGAATTGGAAGCTGAGATGTGTTAGATGCTGCACTTATAATACAGAAAAAAAATCTGTTGCCTATGGAAGTTCTCCAAACCATGAGGAAGATAAGTTATGGAAAAGATTAATCAAAGTAGAATAATAAATACAATAATGAATATTTTCCTACAAAATAGTCCATATCTCAAGCTCCATCCCAAGCATTTTACAATATTGATTTGTTTGGTCTTTACCATGATCCATTTCATAAAGGGATGAACTGAGTCCTAGAGTTGTTCAATAAGTTGCTTAAGGATGCTCAAAATTAACTACTATATCACATGAAATGAGGGTAAGAGATTAAATATGGGTCATATTATCTGCTAATTGTGTTCTTTGAACTGTGCAATCTATGCCATCAAGTGCCACTCCGAGAAATCTTTCCAATGTCTTTAAGTATTAAAGATGCATCTGTTGGGTTTTAACTTTCAACTTGACACAAACTAGGATCACTGTGGAAGAGTCTTAGTTAGGAATTCTCTAGATCAAGTTAGCCCATGGGCATGTCTTTGGGATTTTTTGGATGGTTAATTGATGTAGGAAGATCCACCTCATTGTGGGAGGCACCATCTACCATCCTTAGGAGCAGTCTTAATGATGGGGAACATTCGCTGATAGAGTCTGGGCTGGAATCTAGATATTCTGATCAAAAATGACAAAACCCCATTCTCCTTGGGTACTAGCTATAGTAAGACATCAAGAAAACCTAGGTTTGAATTATGGATTACATTCCTACTGGCCACTATGCTATCACTTTGAGTTTATATCCTTCCTCTGCAAAGAAGGACACTGACACTTCAGCTTCTGGCTAATATGAAAATTTAGAGATGAAAAGCATGAAATAATCAGACCCATGGAAAGAATGTCCTTTAAGACATTTTGCCCCTTTGGCTTTATATTTTTCTATTTAGACTTTGGTTCACTGGGTGAATTCTTAGTACACCATTTGCTCTTTCATTAGAATACTTGTCATTCCATGTTCCTTCTCTTCAAGGCTATTTTATTCACAACCCCCAACTGAGAATAAGCTCAGTAGGTTCCCAGAGACACTGATTCAATGATGGATGGTCTGCCTGGATCCTGGAGAGGGAATGCACTGGCCTACTTAGCTTCTTGCACATAATAAAGAACAGTGAGTCATCTGTGGGCAGAGCAGGTGTTGTCAGCTCCACATCTAGAAAAGGCCTTCATGGTCTGTGAAAATGCTGTGGCTAATGAACCAACAGCGTGACCTTAGTTAATCCTCTTTCCCATTAAAGAGTTGTAGATGTTCCCAGATCTGGCTGATACATTCTTTGGCTGTTGAGCAACGAGCAAACTTCATAGAAACGGAGAAAACAGGCATAAACAGTGAAGGGGGCATGAAAAAGGCATCGCAAAGCCATCAGAATCTGTCCCCAAAGTCAACAAAACTACATTTTTCCTTAGACCATTTCATTCCTACGAGAAAGGTCCAAATCTTTGGGGAGTTTTTTTTTTTTTTTTTTTTTTCTTTTCCGTAACTAAGTTTAGGATCCAGCTAAACTTGATCCACTATCATGACTTGATGTTTTATTTAGGAATGCCTTTTCTTTCTATCCTGTGTATAGCTAGGCTCAGGGTTACTTCAATAACCTTTTAATCTCTCTTCTGCTCCAGAGAAATCTTCCATAAGTGATACATCTCAGCTTTCCTGATGGCCTTCTCTGGTTGAACTTTTGATGGATTCTGGTAAAGCAGGAAGTACCCTAGCTCACAGGATTCATGGTGGAGTCTCAATTTCACCATGCATCTAATGGCCTAATGTTAACTTCCAGGTCTTCCTTGTTCATCCTTTTCTCTGTCATGAGTCAGTACAAGTCCTAACATTTTCAGAAGATGGTTTCTACTTAGAATAACTTGTTAACATCACCTTACATCACTTTTCAGGTCTGGCTCTCTCTCACCAGTACTGTCTCTAGTACTTCAGGTCACACTATATTCTAAGGTTCCTTTCATATCGTGTCTCTTTCCTCTTTATATTAGCAATTTCAATTGATATATATTTATGGAGCATCATGTTATGCTCTGCTAAAAATAAACTTTGTATAATTTAATCAGAGTTGGCATATTTAACTCAAATATTTATAACATCTTATTAGGAAACTATCCAGAATTCTTTCTTTTCAGATTATTTGAAATACATAGTATATTATAACCTATTTCTCATATTTATTGATTTAGGAAGTATTATTTTATTGATTTTATTTTTTTTTCATTTCACATACCAACCACAACTCCCCACCAACACCTCTCCTTAATTCACATATTTAATAATAACTGAGCATATGATGTCTTTCCTTTGGACAACTTAATTCCCAATTCTTCCTTTTTAATGCTGTTAACTACTGCAAGTCTCTGCCCCTTACCTAGAAGTCTGTCCTTGAGGCCAGAAGCCATGCCTAGTTCTTTCTGGTTTTCTTCCTGGTCTAGCCTCTAACGTAGTTCTGGGGTCATTAACACCTTTAATGAATATTTTACTATTCAGTTAGTTTAATCTTGTATGCAAAGTTTTTAGTTCTTTCTAAATTCCTTTTTCTTCCTTTCTCTTCACACAATTATTAAAAATCTTGGCATGTTATACTATTGTATTTCATGTGGTCTAAACTTGTATTAGGAATTCAAAACAGGAGAAAGAATACAAAGAGAATGAAGACCACCATTTTCATATGAGTGCTTCTCTGGGGCATGCTTGTCTTCAATCTTTAGTGATCATTTTAACATTAATAAAGACTTTGCTGATCCCATAAAAGGATTCTTCTTTCCATGAATGTCCACGTGGCACAATCTAAGAGTATATGTCACCTTGCATGTTGGATTTAGTTATTTATACCCATGAAATAATTTATTTTCTCCAAATTAAAAAAATCTGTTAAAATATAATATACTAGTGAGAAGGCAATGAACCTTCAAATTAAAAATACTTGATATCAAATATGATGGTAGATGTTAAAGAAGCTGGAAAAGCCAGGTGAAGTCTGACCTAGATTCATCTTAAGTCTTAGAGACAGTGATTAGATTGCAGTATCAATAATATTGTGGAGGAGGAGACCAGACAGACAGAAGACTCAGACAAATGGGAAAGGAAGGCATATCTGAGGAAAGGCAAGTGACCCATTATGACTGTGTGAGGAATTCCAAAAATAGAATGGTAGAAAAGACAGTTCAGGTCTGCAGACACTAGATTTTGACTTGCTAAGTAGTTTGCAGTTTGTCTTGGAAGCTGAAGAGAGTTATGGGAATTACACAAATGAAGCATTTGTCAGACTGGTGGAAGAGGGGATGTGGGGATAAGAAATAATGATGCCATTTGTAGGCTAGAACACAGAGAGAGGCGAGTAGCCTTTAGAATTCATACTTTACCTGTGTTTCTCAGGTCACACGAGTAGAGGGCCCTCTCCATCTTCCTGAACCTGTCTATCCACAGCTCAGATGGTTCAGTCTCCTTCCCCATGTCTGTACTCAAAACAGGTTGGGAGTCTGGCCTGTTCTTAAAGGAATTTACAGGAACTTGTGAGGCTGAAGTCATAGCGGTAGGCTTTTCTGTACACAGATTCTCTTTTGGAGTTTTCTACCAAAACAACATAAGCATCTCACTGGCACACATTCACCACTCAGAACTTCTCCAGACTCTTGGCCATAGATGAGGCCACACAAGCAGAAGGATTTATTGCAAGGTCTGCCTTTGGAAAACAAGGAAGAGTCTCACATATTGGGCAGCACAAGGCTCTACCTGCCAAGTTTTTGCTGAGTGCAAACATGGCATGTTTTTTCTTTCTTTGGAAAAGATGACATCATCACTTTTGTCCAGTTTTCTTCTTTGAAACAAGCAAAGGACTTGGGACCTGGCTGACAGATCTGATGTCCTTCTCTAAGGGCACTAGAGGAATCTCCACGGAATGTGCTTCTAGGAAAAGCCACTGTTTCCTCAGTGGTTTGTGGTGAATGAGTGACTGGCACAATAATAATGTTACATTAGGCCTGTGGGCTGAAGTTAAAGAATACCTAAGTTTCTTTCTGACTTTAACAAAGAAAATAGAAGCTCAGAAATGAGGAAAGACTTATAAGATAGGATAGGCCTCACACAAGACCCAAAATTATAAGCAGGGCATAGAGGTGATGCTTAGCTCACTTCAATATCCTAGTTTCATGCCCACTACAGAACAAAAAATGCTTTTATGATGAAATAGACAAGTGAGACCCCATAGTGCCAACTAAGACATCCTGATAGCATCTTTGTGTAGAAGGGGTGAATGTCTGTGGCCTGATCAGCCTCCTGCCTATCCAGTACATATAGGAAGAAACATCATGTTCTTTTTGAGTGGGTTGAGGCTGGGCATCCAATGCAAGACAAGAAGTACACCTATTGTTCAGCAGAGAGGGAGAAGGAACATGAATCTCATAGTAAAGAAGAAAGCTTGACCATGTTTGACTTCTTGGTTTAGTTCACATTACACTCTGTCCATAGTTAACACAGTAAAATTTCCTATTCTCCAGTTAATTAAGCTAGTATAGTTGGTTCTGTGTATTGCATTATAAAATGTTCATAACTAACCATAAAACAATACTTCTGATTTGTACCATCTGCAGTTCCTTAACCTTTAACTATTTGAAGCTTTGCAGTCTTTTCCCTAATGTAGAACTTGTCATGTGTAAGTGGTGAACAGCCCAGACTCCTGCAGAAGAGCGGCTGTAACAAGCTTGTCTCTGAGTTGGCTAACAGACATGGATGAGGTTGCTCCCAGGGAATGTGAAGAATTTTTTGTTTGAAATACTAGATCACTGTGTGAAATTGCACTGACACAGTTGACAGGCAACTGGTAAATTTTCAGAATGAATATAAAATAATTCTGTTTTGATAAAATTAAGTTTGCGACAAAGAAAATTTTTATGTAGAAAAACAAAATAATAGTTCTTATACTGTTTTAGAGCTTTGGGAAAATTTAGAAATGGTGGAAGCTTTAGAGAAGTCGTAGATGTTTTTATCACTTTTGTTTATTTATTTTTAATTTGTTTGGATACTTTCTCACTCTCTGTAGAGACTTGTGTGAACCCACATTAGGCTCAGTAAAGGAGCAAGTAACTAAGATACCCTATATCACATTTCTGTCCCAAATTCCTTGCTTAGGCCAAGGGACATTAATGTTCTTTTTGCTTAATTCTCCACTTATCCCTTTCAGACTTACATTGGCATTGTTTTCTCCAGGAACATAAAGCCTGACAACTGGAGATGTCTTTTGTCTTTATCTCTTTATAATTTCATTTCATTTCATTAGTTACAGAAGCCCCTTTTGATGCTTGTGCCTGGAATGATAGGACTCCTATAAAACTTGCAAGACACATCTCATATCCTACTTTTTGTACTGCCTTCCCTTACAGCCCAGGATTGGAAAGAGTTTATTCTTTGTCACCCCTTTGCCTGTCCAGGCACTCACCACTGAATACTAACTATATTGGTCTAAGTATCTATTGCCATAGAGATAGCTATTGATTTATCCTCAAGGCCATGAAAGAATGAATGGATAAATGAATGAATGAATGGATATATGGATGAATTATTTTTCTGGTATCATAACAAAGTTGTTTTATCAACCCCCTGCTTCATCTCCTTTTTAAAGAGTAGGGCAATAAAGACTGCTTATACAAGGATTCGAGAAGAGTCAATTATTACAGAAATGCAAAAAAGAATGCTTCAACAGGAGGCAAAATAAAAGAGCAAAATGTATTTTTTTTTATAATCGTATTCACAACAGACTTAACACTCAAGGAGAAAAGCATTTGTGGTTGATTTTTGCATGGCAAGATGCTTGCCAAAATGGATACTGTTTTCTAAAATATTTCCATGTGTGAAGTGCATAAAGGGGCCTCACATCATTTTAACACAAATTGTGTTCTAATCTGGACCTTTCAAAACAACAACAATAGGAAAACGCATGCTGCTTTTCAATTCTTCAAAATCTCCTGCCTAAATGCTGAGGCTATTAAGATGGATTTTTAACCATTTGCTAGATATTCTTTTTCTACTTCCTTGTTATTCTTTTTAAATCAGAGAACTTGTTATGTTTTAAAAAGTGATTCCTTGAGGAAAGTTCAACCTCATGTTCTGGAAACTGGAGTTAAGATATTAAAATGGTCTTCTGACCACCCTTTAGTCTGATGACAGTTGGTGGTCACAAGCTTTGTAAGCTCACCTGTACACTTGCTACAAGAAAACTTGCTTGGGGCACATGGCAAGCACATCACTGAGCAAGAGCTAAGGAGGATGGTAGTTCAATCATATTCTAGGAGTTAGTCTGCCTCCCTCTTCTATGTGAAGCAGGTGCTAAAGGCAGTCTGACATCAAGTGTAGGGAGAAATAAAGGCTCCATAGAGGAGGGTAGGCTTCCAGCCCAGCAAGAGGTGGAAGGATGGGGTCAGGGTCCTCAAGGCCCTCCCAAGAGCTCTACATGCCCAGCTGCATACCACATGGTCAGTTTTGCTTTGGGGTCTCTCAGGGATTTCAACCAAGTCCCCTGGAGTTTTCTTTTCATTCTTTCCTAAACAAGAAAAAGAGAGAGAGATGGGTTGAATTTGGTATATATATTTAGCACATACATACAGGAGTCAAGGGCAACACTGCGGCTGTGCTTGTGCTGGGTGGTTTGCATTGTGTCAGGCAATGGGGACACTTGTTGGATAAAAGGACAGGTTTCTACCTTGTGGATTTCAAAATAGGGAGGGAGTGTTAAATAGTTTCTCAAACAAGTTATTTAAACACAATAATCAAATATACCAGAGAAAGGAAATATATAGAAATAGGAAAACATTCAAATTTATTTAGAAGCAGTAGAAGCCATGGGGAGTGAATATTCCTGGAGGAAGTGAAGCAAACTGATGATTGGAGGGATGAGCAGGTGTCATTTGTACAAAGGCATGGCAATGGGGCCCGCGAAGCAGAGGCGTGGATCAGCCAGAGTATAACCTGTGGGAGGCCCTGAAACAGAAAGGCCTGTGCAGCTTAGTGAAGCAGACAGAGTCTTCCTGCAACACCGTCTCTTAGAACACAAACACTGTACCCCCTTTCTCATGAGATGTGTGAGCACCTCCCAGCGCCAGACTGGAGACTGCTGCCTTTCAGGATAAAGCAAACTCACTTTCGATGCAGAACAGCCAGCCTTCTTCTGCCCAGTCTTCCCCAGCCAAGGGTGGATCTTATGGACTATGACTATCACATACTGAAATGTAAATAGGTCACTAACAGCATACATTAGTTTTCAGTTGGGTCCCACTATTTTTAATAAAAACGAGCCAAAAGAAACAAGTTGGAAGGAGGCAATATAACACAGTGTGCAACACTATCAGTTCTGAGGCTAGAAGCCTTGGATTTAGATCCTGCCTACTTAATCAGATGCATGAATTGAGCAACCTACTCCTCTTCTCTGTGCTTCTGAGACAGAGGGAGGACACTTTGGGAGACTGGGAACTGCTAGGATTAAATGGAACTACCTAGAACATACCAAGTGTTCAATAATTGTTTTTTAAAAAATGAAGAATGTTTCCTAAATTTCCACAACAGACTTAAATCGCGTTAGCAATATTCTATTAGCATTGCCTCTTGGGATCATTATGAATTCTCTAGTTCAATTACTTTTTGTATGCTTTTGTTCACATATGTATAGTATACATTGGTTTACATGTATATATATATATATGTATATATATATATATGTATATATATATATGTGTGTGTGTGTGTGTGTGTGTGGATGCACTATGAACATGAGTAAATGTGAGTGTGGTGGCCAGAGGCCTGCATCTTCCTGAGTCACTCTCCATCTTATACTTTTGAGACAGGGTATCTCACAGAATCTAGAGCTCACCAATTAGCTAGACTGCAAGCTCCAGAGTGCTCTTTGTCTCTGCGTTCCCAGTCCTGTGGATACAGTCATGCTGTGCCCTGCTGGGTCTGACTTTTTTCTTTTTTACACAGGTGTTGGGAGTCAAACTTAGGTGCTCATGTTTATACAGCAAGCACTTTACCAACTGAGCCATCTCCCCAGTTCTTCTTCAGTGCCTGCTCATAGATGACTGGCTATGCACTTTTACACGAAGTGTGGAAAATAAAGCCACTACATGTGTAGTTCCTTCCTCCAATTCCTTTTCCAATCCTCTTAAAACAGGGATGTTGTGATTTTTAATAGTGGCATGTGACAGAAAGACACCATGTAACAGACCTTGGGTGGAGGGATTTTATACTGATGGAAAGTGGAGGGGGTGAGGGAGAGTGGAGACTGGCTTCTGGAGACAGAAGTGGCAGAAGAGAAGAGAGAGGGGGGTTTGGGCTGCCCCCTTTTAAAAGGGAATGTAGTGAATGTACACAGATGCTGTTCTGAGTGGCTACAGCTGAGGGCAAACCCTGTCAAAAGCCCAACGACAGGGCAGTATAGATGCCTGAATACTAACTGATGTGTCTTTGTATTTCTTTATCTCGCATAACCAACCCAGATGCCATAGAATAAATTTCATCCAGTGCTGTGGTAGTTTGAATGTAATCTCCCCCCCATAAACTCACAGGGAGTGGCACTATTAAGAGAAATGGCTTTGGTAGAGTAGGTATGTCCTTGTTGGAGGAAGTATGTCACTGTGGGAGTAGGTTTTGAGGTCTTATATATGCTCCGGCCATGCTCACAATCTCAGTTCATTTCCTGTTGCCTGCAGATAAAGATGTAGAATTCAAAAACAAGAAAAAAAAAAAAGACAGAATTCGCAGCTTCTTCTCCAGCACCATGTCTGCCTGCATGCTGCCATGTCCCACTATGATGATAATGGACTGAACCTCTCAACTGTAAGCCACCCAATTAAATGTTTTCTTTATAAGAGCTGCTCATTGAAGATTGTGATGGTAGTCCCTTTGAGGCAAATCTGAATTAAACTGTTGAGAATTTAAGTGACCATGGGAACCCATGAACACCTACTCACACTGAGATCTGCTGACTCCACCACATTTGTGAAAGAAAAGAATTTGCTCTTTACTGCAAGAGGAAAATGCCTAGCTTACTCTGAAGCAGAGATGGACAGCTAAAGGGACTCTAGCAGCCCTGTATGGCATACAGGCAGGGATCTACAGACAGTTCTAAACACTAACCCTGTATTTTTCTTCTACCAACTGTGAACTTTTGGACCAGTTATTTCATTTGTGAAATTCCAGGAACTTGCAGTAATACCGTGAGGTTAAAATCATGTATGCAAAAATACTCAAAGGGGAAGATGTTTAACTTTAGGCAACTTTCTTTGCCTCACAGAGAAAAGGATTTACAATACAGCATGCCAAGCATTTTCCTGGGCATCAGTTAATACATGTCACTTTTTTAGAAGAAGACCTAGAATCTTGACTTTCTCTGCCAAGCTCTTCCTTGCTGTCTGAGTCTTTCAGAGTTTCCTTAGGAGAATATACAAAAAGTCTCCTCAGTTTCTTCTATGTTTACCCTTTCCTTTGCCATATCTGATGGCATATACAAAGGTAATCGCTTGCACATGTAAACATTGTTTGAGCATCCTGTGCTGGAGTTCTCTTTTTCTTCTTCTCCCTAACACACCAGGAAGGATAAATGAGAACCACCAGCCAGTGGAAGGTTTGCACTGGGGGAGGTAAAACCTGCTGGCTTCTACTAGAAGTTTTCAAGCATGAAGGAGCAGGATTTGTATAAGGCTGCTGGGAGATTGTACTGTTTATTTAGTCATCTCTCCTGTTTGTTCCCACTGACTATTGAATTCAGTGCTCTTTGGTGCTGGTTGTATATTAGGCCAACCTGGGGAGCTTTAACAATGACCAGTGTGCAAATGACTTACAAGACCAACTAAATCCTGACTTCAGTCCAGGAGAACCCAGCACAATACTTTTACAAAGTATTTTCTAGGGATTTGAAAATGAAACAAAGTTGAGGGCATTTGACTGAAGTGATAGCTTTTGGATTTATGGGTTCTAATGAATGAAGCTTGTGTGATCAGCAAACTAACATACTCAACTGTTTATCAATGGCAGACATTTCCCACATAACCTAAAGAATAATTCTGCAGGCTGGAAATTATCTCTATTTAACAGATGAACTAACTAAGAAGATGAAAATTTCAGTTGTCTGCTAATACCAGAGGTCAATGTAAGTCTGATTCTGACTTGTTCATCATTCATGGAGAACACACCAGTCAAGTGAGTAACAGAATCTGGCATTGTCTTGCGAAGGACACAGCAATGGTGAACAAGACAAGCTTTCTTCTGATGCAGTATGCATTCTAGTTGTGAAACCAGGAATCAGACACACAAACAATTCCTGATAAGTGTCGTAACATGACTAGACCCAAACTCACAGGTAAGAATGATGAAAGTCACTGGAGACTATGCCTGAGGCCTCCTAAGAAGTCACAATTAAGTAACATAATCAGTAGACAAAACCTTTTTTAACCTTTTTTTTTAAACCTTTTCTACTTTTAAGTCCCAAGATTGTAAGAATTTGTTATAGAGGCCAGGATCATGAGGCATTCTTCATATTTTTCTCAACTTTTCCAGCCTCTGATAAGAATCATGACTAATTACATTACTAATGCCCTGTACCTATTTTCATGTTTCCCCCACTCACGTGGATATAGATTGATATATTCACTCAATGGCACACCCTACCATACACACTGGGTGGCTTACACGGTGATTCACAGTAGTTAGTTGATGTTTAAGTAGAGAAATAATAGCAACATATTAATATAAATGCATATATTTTCACCTGTCATATTTAAACCTGCTAATTGCTAAATATTTGGCCATATTCATCTTTAAAATCTCACCTAATGATATGCCATGGAAATCCTGGTGCAGCAGCTCAGTTGTGTTGTTTTAAAACTGCACAATTTAATCCGACAGTTAAATTATAGTTTAGTTAAATGATCCCAGAAGGATCTTTTCCTTGCTTCTAATTTTAGGACATTCATAAGTTACTGAACTAATCATATCTACACACATATATATGTCTATTTGATATCTATATTTGTATATGATATTTGGTAATTTATTAGCCAAATAGATGCTAACATGAAGGACTGGTATTTTAAAGAGATTGCATCTGAAATTTAAGCCAATACCAACTTCCTGTGCTAGATTCATACCTAAGGGTTACCACAGAAAGTGGAATATGGAGCTTGAAGAATCACACCTTTATTCATACAATTAACGTAAGAGAATAGTTTTAAAGGAAAATTTTAGTCCGATATTTTCTTGGATGGATATTTTTGGGATAAATGAGATGAAATCCAGTTAGGTTTGCTGAGGAACAAAGAAAGAACAGTACTCACCTACAGTCATATCACACAACAAAGCAGAAGAAGCCCTGTTCAGCCACTTAACAAAATTCTGCCACCTGTGTAAGAAAAAGATAGGCTCTGAGTGATGAGTAGTAATGCTTCCATTACCTCTGAAGCATGAGCAGCAAAGCTGAGTTTTACTGGTTGGCAACAATACTGAAAGGAGTTTTGCTATAAGTGTAGGAAACAGAAATTACTTTAGGTATGTCCATAGAAAAGACTTTGGTACAGGGAATTAGGAGCCCTAGAGTTACAGAAAGAGGACTTAGGCCATCAGTCCTAGACTGTGAAAGGAGAGAAGTTTGTTTTCTAGGTCACCCATCAGAAAACCAACTGAGATGGAGAGGAAGTTGGCAAAAATGTGTCTTGGGTTTTCTCAAGGAGTTCCAATGTCATATAATTTTATTCTCTTCAAATAGTAGTGGTATGTTAACTATGAAAGTCAGTTTGTTTTTCTTATACCTCATAAACCTTTTCCTATACATGGGTCACAAGTCAGAAGCATTCTTTGATCAGCATGTGTATTCTGACAGGAGATTTGAACATGTAGCTTCCAGAGCTCCATGTAAGAAAGAGATAAGCCATGATGTGAAAAAATGCAATCAGAAAACCAGATGACTGTGTAAGAGGCCTAGGATGGTAAAGAAGAGCTGAAGGAGAGGAAGCTCTCATGGAGTAATAATAATACAAACATTGTATTATTGGTATTGGCTTCAATCTGGAAGAGACTCCAGCGGATTTATATTTTAATTTTCTTCACTGCTTCTAGTTTTAGATATTATTAGATCAGGCATATGCATAGACCATTTTTCCAAACTTTTGACAATAAAATACAACCAATAGCCTAATCTACAGATAGTCACAGACTACATTCCATTTATTTTTCAGTGTTTTCAGGAAATTTCAAGCCATGTTCTTTCAGATACCAAAGAGAAGAGAAGGGCCAGAGAGATGGCTCAGTCAATAAAGGACCTTGATGTATGAGCCTGATAACTTGAATTTGATCCCAAGGTCCCTCTGTGGAAGAAGAGAATTGATTCCCAAAAGTTTTCCTTTCATCTTTACAGGCATGGATGTGTGAGCACGTGCGTGAACGCGTGTGCGCGCGCGTGCTCGCGCGCGCACACACACACACACACACACACACACATTGATGAGTAATGAATACATAAACAGAGAAAATGTGTGAGACAAGGCCTGAGATAAAACACTGCTATAAAGTTTTCCACTTTTTCTTGATTATGTCCTGACAGTAGGGGGAGGAGAATATGGCAAATAGTTCTAAATATCCAACTTGGACATTGTCTAACATAAAACATCATATAGGACATGTGTGATCAATACATTTCTTAAGATTATTTTACTAAATATTTCCCATTTCTATGTCTCTTACATTTCTAGACCTTCAAAGAACTATTTAACTCAAATGTAAGAATAGGTTCCCACTGTAATACACTAGTAACTATAATAACAAAAATATGTGCTAAGCTTTACCTTCCAGCTAGGGGACAAATACCGTGACCCCAATTTTAGATTCAGAAAGACTTGGTTTCACATTCCAATTCCAGGCTTGGGGTGTAGCTAAGTGGGTAGAGTGCTTGCTTAGCAGGCATCACACCCTGAGTTCAATTTCTAGGGAGCATAGTGTAGTGTACCTGTGATGACAAACCTTGAGAGGTAGGGACAAATCATCAGGAGTTAGAGGTTATCCTCAGATACAGAAGCGAATTCCAGAGCAGCATGTGCTATGTAACACTCTCAAACACCAACAACAAGTTCCAAATTCAATTGTATTTTCCACTTAACATATATTTCAGAGAGTGTTCTTGGTACCTTTTATTCATCATTTCATCTCATGGCAACAACCATTATGTAAGACATGTAAACTACTACCCTGAGACACAGGTTAATGGTATCAATTAATACTATACCCTTTTCAACCCACTTCAGATTTACAAGGGAGTAGGTCATACAACTTGGTTTCACATCTGTGTTTTCCACTTTGAAATTATGGACATTCTTTCAGTGTCTACTAATATTTACTATTATAGAAATCTGAGGTCAGTCTGATTTTTATCCCTTAGCAACTAATTGTCCCCTTTCTGTTATTTTTTTATTAAAGATCTTTTACAAATTTTGTTTGTTTTTATAATACAAATTGTCATTGTAATACACAAACACATGGGTACATTATTTCCTAAATTTAGCTTAGATCATTGTGAATTCTTTAAATTTGTATACACAGGGCTCTTTCTTACCAGCTCTGTAAAATTTCTTTAGTTGATTCTACAGTGTGGTGGTTATGGCCCAGACAAGAACTGGGATATCTTCTTCTACTTAGCCCTCCTGATGAATTTATCTGTCAGGGACATTAAATTTGGGGCTCTCGATATCTCCATTTCCTCATTTGACAAATAAAATAGTACCTACCACATGGAGCTGTTTGCAGGAATTAGAAACATTAATATTTAACAGAACACTTGAAATATTGCTTGGAATTGTTTAAGTTCTACAAATGTTCTCTATGAACAGTAACAACTTTATTATCATTGTCATCAATGCTAATGTAGAATGGGAAACTGAATTTGCTATCCTACACTGAGCCAATGAACAGACCATAGCATATCTCTAATAGTTATTTGTGTAACACTTTTCCTATTCCCTTTAACCAGCAACTGCTGAATAAGACCTTATGTTTCCTTGATCTCATAAAATCCTCTACTTGTTTCCAGGATTAGCAAAATGTCCTTTCCAACCCAACTCTACTTTCAATAATGGGCCAGATGTGTATGGTAAGTCCTACTTGTGGCTATGGCAATTGCTCTACTCTATTCAGGAAGCCCCCATAGCAGCTTCATTATTTATCTCCTCCCCCAACACAATTTGGCTTGTGCACGTGTGTTCTAAACTGGTTTGAAGCATTTAATTTTGCCAATATAATTTTAGAGTATTAGATTGCCTCCTGTTCTTGCTCTGCCCTCTTTAATTACCATTTATTACAAAGTCACATAGAAACATTAAATGTGAATTCTGACTTCCATCTCCCTGGCCAAGAACAGGGATATAATTTCCATCCAACACAACCTGAGCTCATTTTACATAAGGGTGATTCAGAGTGGAGATTAGAAATCATAATCGAGTCTTCCTCACAATCGCCTTATCCTGGCAGTCATTCACCAATGTGTCTGCTGATTGTTAGGAATATGGGAAAATAAAAATGAAATTTCAGAATTTAAAAATTTATTTAAGAAGCAATAACAACAACAATGAAAAATCCACAATTTTGTTTCAGGGTTAGTAACATTGCCTCTCCTGTCAGCTCTTACAACATGCTAGTTTAAAAAGGGAACTTGACTCATTTTATTTGGCTAGATGGGGCTAATCCTACATCACCACAATCCCTCCTGATGTTTTATTGATTCTAAAGGACATTTAATCAGGAAGCAGCTCAGCACTAGAATCCTGCTAATTAGCAGACAGCCACATTCCAAATGGCTTTCCAATTGAACGCAGATTAATGGACAATATGTACTAAGATAATGATTCAAGCATTCAGCTCCTAAAATGTGTGTCTAAATTGCATCCTTAATCTCTTAAGGATGTAGGTTTGCATACAAAGCTCATAATGGGCTGGGTTTAATTCACAGAAGATGCTTTAGCCAATGACGGTTTAAAGATGAAATAGGTTTATCTCTTATAAACACATTTTTCTCTGATTCTTATGTTTTTGAAATCCCAGAATAGTCTAAGGTCAAAGAAAGCAAGTAGCTGTTCTTATATTCCAGATCTCTGTACCACTGGATCTGAATTAGTCATTAATCAACAATATCAATGGAGTCTTTACTATTTCCTATGTATAATGTAAACTTATGTGCTTGAGTTTTTTTCCTTTGGACTAGAGCCACTTTGAGAATCTCCTTTTGGTTTCTAGTCTGTGCCTAACTGATTTTTCTGCTTTTTGTAGCTTAACCACCTCTAAGAAAATTCACATGTGCAAAACTGGCCCATAGGAATTCATCTCTGGGTTGGACTCAAACTCATTCACTTAATTCACTGCTCTTTGCAAAACCTTGCCTATTTTATGTTTCCTTATTGTTCCTATGACATTGTGATATGCCATATATTTCATTTTATTTTGATTTTTTTTGAGACTGAGTTCCTCTGTGAATCCCTGGCTGTCCTGGAACTCACTCTGTAGACCAGGCTGGCCTCAAACTTATAGAGATATGCCTGCCTCTGCCTCCCAAGTACTAGGATTAAAAACATGTGCCACCACTGCCTGGCTATACCATATATTTTAAATTGATTTCTCATTCCAACTAGAATATACCTTCATGAGGAAGGGGCTCTGTTTTTCTTGGAGCTGTATTCCCAGTGTCCAGAATAATAGTATATAGCTGGTCCTTGGCAAATATTGTTAAATTAATGACTCATCAAGCTCATCAAATACGTGCTATGTACCTATCTTGAGCCCATTGTAGGTTAGATGCTGCAACCATGTAGTGTGAAGAAAACAGCTGTTTCTTGCTATAGGGTGATCATTGTATACACATTAATTAAGAATTCACGAAAATAAAGCCACAATTCTAAAGAGTGCTAGGAAATAAGGTGGCTAAGTACTGTTGAAGCATTTAGTACCATGATCCAGATTTTGTGGAGATGTTTGGAAAAGGCACTGTTCAGTTTGATGATGAACTATTTTTAGATAACTTCTGTCCTAATTCAGTTCAAGCATGTTTATCATCATAATAGCTACTGCTTTAGACATTTGGGATACACAACTGAATAAAGAATCTGCTTGTCCTATGGTACTGTAGTTTACTATTTAGCACAATGAATATACCATGCTAAATCACTATTATTTCACTTATTGGAGATTAATGGGTTTTTACACTCAGTATAGAATATATATTTATGTGAAACACTTGAAATAAGTTGGGAGGCTCATAGAGCAAAAAAAGGAAATCAGGTAAAGGGGAAAGAGTGGGAGTTAGAATTCCAAATAAAGTAACTAGTATAGCCTACACAGATTTTGTGAGCCCCAAACTAAGAGGTTTTCTGTCTTTTCCTTTCCAGGGCTATGAGAAGTTTCCTAATTTCATAATAAGCCAGTGCATATAAAAAGCTTTGAAGACCACTTTTTAATGTCTCCAGAGGACATCCCAGAGGACATATGTCCTGTAATCTTGGTAAGGTATGCTGTATCCTCTTTGTTCTTCCTAACCTCCAACTCTTTTTCCAACTATTTCTAGATTCTAGCCTGTTATCTTTCCTCATTCCTATGCAACAAGCTAAAACAGTCTCACTGCTTTCCTTTCTTAGTAATCATTGTTTGATGATGATGCTCAACCTCTGCAAACACATTTCATCTGTTTGGTCCTGCTCTTTGGCTGTTTCAGGAGGAATGACAAGCATAGGTCATGGTAGCTCCTATGAGCTGAAAGGAACAGTTTCTTGATCTGTGTTTTTATGACTTCTGAGAACTTTTTTTCTTAAATATTTCAAAAGATTACATTTACTTAGTGTATATGTGCATGCATGTGTAGAGGTCAGATGGTGACTTTTGAGAGCAGGCTCTCTCATTCTACCATGTGGAACTTCCTCGTTTTATCAGGGATGGACGTCAGGCCATCAGGCTTGGTAATAAAGGCCTTTACCAACTGGCCATTTTGCCAGCTCCCTGTGCTTTTAATAAAACATTATTTAGCCCAGCTGTCAAGCAATTAATATTGGTTGGTTCCCATGGGCATTTTCTTTTCTCTAAAGGCAGATCTCTGTGCTTGGCATCCTATTAGAAGGCAACAGGGATAAGGAGTTTTCATAGTTACACAAATAGCACAGCACAGTGGCTAATGTGTCTAATATCAGACGTAGTCTTTTACTCATGAAAAGTTTTAGTCTGGCTTGGAAGTAGCTCTCATCTTCTTGTTATGTCTTTTTATGGTAGAGAGAAGAAGGATGTTTTGGTGTCTTATTTTCTTGGAGAGATATTACTTCTCTCAGGGTGGTCCAACTTCATCTAAATATAATGAACTTCCAAGACCTCAGCCCCAGGATCATCATGTTAAGAGTTAGGACCCTACCACATTTTCATTTTGGTGGGGCACAAACCTCAAAATTCAACTTACTTTATTTCACCTTGGTAACCCAAATCTTGGTGGTTAAGAAATGTTTCCAGTTGGCTCAAGGTTAGATACAATCCATGCTTGCCACATATAGCTCTGACCTAGAAATCAGAAAGGATTTGAAGCTTTAGTAAAACGGAACAAATATTTGGCTTTCTTCTCACTATTATAGCCCATATGACTCTAATAAGGAGCCATTGCTTAGAAGCACATTCTGTCATTGAGGTATCCTTCAGCACAAGCCTTTTCAGCTCAGTACTTATGGTTAACAAACTTCTGTTTAGTTTACAGACAGTTATAGTTTTTCAGAAGCCACTAGGTTTTCTATTACTGAGCTTACATTTTTGGCAATCCACATAAGGCCTAGGAAGAATCTGCCTTTTTAAATGTTGATAAATTGAGAAACATTTGTGTATCATATACTTTGGCTTGTAAAAACAGTGTTCTGCATTCATGGTTAATGCCGTTGTCCTAGTTTCTTTTCCTGTTGTGAGAAATTTGTGTGACTAAAGCAATTTAAGGGATAACGGACTTAAACTGACTCAGTTCGACAGTTCTTGGTGGCATCAAGGCAGTAGGAACATATAACAGCTGGTCAGATTGCATCTATAGTTCAGAGCAAAGAGCAAGAAAAACACGCTAGTATTTTGCTTGCTCTCTCTGTTTCCTATAGTCTGGAATCCCCAGTCCAGGGAAGGGTCTCACCTACAGTTAAGGTGGATATTCCTTCACCAATTAACAGAACCGAGATAATCCTAGGGGACCTGGCAAAAAGCCCATCTCCCAAACTGTAGATTCTATCAACTCACAACTAACACTAACCATTACAATCTTGCCCTTCTTAGGTTAGCTAATTACCAGAGAGAGTAGAAAACTCAGCTGAATGGGAGCAATCCAATTAGACAAAAGGCTTTATAAATACCCTCAGGAGTCACTCCACTATTCCTTTGACTTTTCATCCTGGGACAAGGGACCAGGAAGCCAGGGACCGCCTTCAAAGTTTCAGAGTTCAAGGGAGTTATTCAAACCAGCCAATCTTGAGCTTGCTTACCTTGCTTTGCTCATTCATTCCACAGGAAACATAGTAACAGACTCTTGCCCACCTTCCCATTTTTGTCCTATACCACAAAGGTGCCTCCCTGGGTAGTCTTACATGGGGTTCTACCTTCTTTTTAATAGCAATTATCTACAGATCTGTTAGTATAAACATAGTCAAACAATAATGGAATCTACGTTATAAAACAATGTCAAGGGCTTAGCTCTGTAACATTTTCTTAACTTAGGTAAGGTCTTGGCTTTATTATCAGCACACAGTAGGCAAGCAAGCAAGCAGAGGCCAAATGCTAGTCTTTACTTGTCTTTCTGAGGTTTTCAAACTTGCCTGCTACTTTCTAGGTGTAGAAAAATTAGAGTCAGAGGGACTTGTAGAAGAAAATAAAAGCAGATTATATTGAAACATTAAAAAACAAACAAAACAGAGTTTATCAAAAGCATAAGGAGTTGAGGAGAATGCTGGGCAGAGGACAAGAAGATACAAATAATAGATGACAAAAATTTCAGAGCTACTTCTAACGGTATTTTGGTGTTGCCCCTTTTGCTATAGTTGTATGCCTTTTCCTGGCAGGGCAGAAAACCTATTGCCTTCTGAGATTCCTTGAGAGATAACATCTTTTCCAGGGTGAGATGGTCCTTTAGTCATTCATTTTCTTACCACTATTGCTTAGCAGTCTTGGGAAATAAAGGATCCAAGTAAAGGATGAATGCTAATGGGATGTGTGTGGGGAGGGCTTAGAAAAAAAAAAGCAAAGAGATAGAGAAACTGATCACACATTTTGCCAGTTTTATTAGTAAGTAAAAACTGATTATTCTCATGATTAGAGGATATGGATATGTTTTTGGACACCTATATTGAAAGTCTATTCTCAAAATAGATCATTCTGTCAATATTCAGTTTTGCTGTAGGCTAAAATGAATATCAGATTAGAAAGAGTACATCATGGTACCTAGACACAGACTGACTGATGGCTGCAAAAACTGACTGACAGTCATGAGAAGCAATGAAAATATCCACCAGAAACATTAATTAAGACAGTGTTACTCATGATTACCATTAAAATCCTTAAAAGTGTAAATATTCACGCTGATCACCCCTGGCAAGAAATGTTTAATTTTCTTCTCTCAATGAGGAAATCGTTTCAATTAGTAGTAAGTAATTTTTTTAAAGTAAGTCAATAAACTATACTATCTATTATGTGACAGACAACGTGATTATTCATGTTAATAATGTCTCAAAAATTGGCACATAGTCACTGGTTCCATCATGAATTTTTTCCCATTATGTTTTACAGTATTACTTGAATTAGCTATTATTACCAGTTACAAGGAATCTCTATGGGTTTCCAGTTAACAGATTTAGTCCTATTGAAAGGTGATATATTTGCAGCATGGAACTGGGTGGCCATGCTCTGCTCCTCCAAATTCTCTTTCATTCCTTTCTTGAGTGCTCCAATATCTCATTTGATCATATTTAATCTTTTCACTGGCTTCTCTTGGCTAGATACTCCATATGGAGTGCCTTCTTCAATCTGCTTACTGTCTCAGTCTTCTGTATGTCCTGGAGTGGTCTAAACTGCTCCCATGATGTCCAATCCATCTTGAAGGGTTTCAAATCATTGTGCAATTTCAGTCTTACTACCCAGATAAACACATCCATCAGTCCTTACTGTACTCCTTCACATTACGCCTGTTTAGTTTTGTATCTTAGTGAATAACATTGTCATACAACAAATTGGTGAATTTGGAGCTAGTTTTGGCTCATATTCAATGACACACCAAAACCTTCTTTGTCTTTCCTAGTGTCTCCATCTTCTTTTTAGTGTCTTACTTGAAGCATCATCATTGCTTTCTGTATTACTGGAGCAATATCCTACAAGGCTCTCCTTTCAGTTTTGCTTGTTTGAAAGATTCTGCAAATTATATTAAAATGTCTCTCTGAAAGCTCAAATATGATCATATTATTTGCACATTTAAAATGCTTTGGTGGTTACAATGGTTTCATAGAGTAAAATATAAACTCCTTGGAAAGATCCTTCATACACAAGATCATACTTTTTATTCTATAGTTGACTTAAAACCCTTTAGTGGTCATTTTCTCTCTAAATCCTTATTCTGTAGATGATTCACACTGTCCATTTGACCCAGATCATCATTTTATCTTCTCTTCTTCTCTTCTTTGTCAGACCTACATGCTGACCAATATCCAACATTTACAGAATCTCTTTGGACCACTTTTAGAGGAGCTACATTGGTATCTGTCTATGTCCATTGGTTCTATGTTCAAGTAATGGCTACCCCTACCTGTGTCACAGAATTTTGATGGCATTTGTCTTTCATTAACTTCTTGGTAAATGAGGAAATTAAAATTGTTGTGATTGGTACCTAGAACACACAGTGATTAATGTATTCAAAAGTGAAAGTCAATTAAATAATATTGGTCAGAAATATACTGTTGCATTGAAGGTAGAGAACAATACAGTAGTAGTAGAAATAGTTGGACTGTTTTAGGACAGAGATATAGAAACAATGAAATATGAAAAGTGTGACTGAGAAACTGTAGAAGATGGCTAAGGAATCTGACATCCTAACACATGTTCAAAGGAGAATTTTGGAAGTTCTCTAAAAGTGTTAAACTGAGGTTACATGTTCAAGATCTGAGTTTGTGTAGTCATGGTGAGTGGATAGCTTGCTCAGGAAATGGGAAGATGTGATTAGCTAATTGTCAACATGATGAGATCTAGAGTAACCTGAGGGATGGGGTCTCAAAGGATAAATGAGAGATTATCTTTATTAGATTAAATGAGGTGGGAAGGCCAGGTGGTCGTGACACACACCTTTAATCCCAGCACTCAGGAGGCAGAGGCAGTCGGATCTCTGTGAGTTTGAGACCAACCTGGTCTACAAGAGCTAGTTCCAGGACAGCCTCCAAAGCTACAGAGAAACCCTGCCTCAAACCCACCCTCCCAAAAATGAGGTGGGAAGACCCCATCATTGTGGGTAGCACAATTCCCCGAGTGGGATCCTTGAATCTATAAAAGAAGAAAGTGAACCAAGAACAAGCATTCATCATAATTCCCTACTTCTTGACCATGGATGCAATGTAACCAGCTGCCTCAAGCTCTTGTTGCTGTAACTTACCTGCCATGATGGTCTATGGTCTCTACCCTCTAACTGTGAGCTAAAATAAGCTCTTCCTTCCTTGACTTTGCTAGGATATTTTATCACAGCCACAAGGAGAGTAACTAAGACAGTGGGTCAGTTAACAAAGAAATACAAGTGGATCAACATTGCCTTTGTAGTTGTGTCAAGTCATCATTGTACCAAAGATGTACAAGACAACAAGATGAAGGAGTCCATAGATAATGATGACTGATATTAAATTTGTTTCTACACTACTTTTTTTTGTGACTGGTCAAAATTCAATTGACGTGAGTGACAAGATCTGAAGATTATTTTTGACAATGTTTAGTCTTCTTGGAAGCCACAGGTGGTCTGAAAATCCTTTGAACTGAGACAGTTTTTGGTGTTTTTATTCCACCCTTATCTGTATTGTTGCTTGTTTTCCTGGTAAGGGGTAGTATATAGCTGTCATGGACTACCCAATAAAGTTCATGGTTCTCTTTTCTACACCTTTAAGAAAGTTAAGATGTATAGTTCCAAATTTTCAATGCTTTCTAATCTTTATATTCTGCTCACAACTTAGGGTCCAGGAACAAGGAAGTTGTGGTGTAGCTGTACCCTGTTGCTTCCTGTATCAAATATCCCTTGGGCCTTAATTTGCTTCACATTCTGAGGAAACAGAACTCTATTTAACATGCCTCCCAGAACTGTATTATTCTTTGAGTGAGTTCCAGATGTCTTAAGAGATGCCAGATGGCTCATGAAAGACAGACCAGCTTTAAGGAAAATACACTCCGTTTCCTTGGATCTGAACCACAAAGTTAAGCTTTCAGTCCAGCTGTAGACAAGAACTTTTAAAGACTCTATGATAGCCAGTGTTTAATGTTGTGTCATCTGACCACAGGACAAAGATCTCAGGAAACGTGTGTGTGTGTGTGTGTGTGTGTGTGTGTGTGTGTGTGTGATAAAATTTATTTAGGGCCTTGTATACTGGGTTATACACAAATACTTTCACATACTTAGTCTCATTTAATCTTCATAATAGTCAAAGGAGGTGCTACTTGGAACCAAAGTTTTCCAGATGAAAATCTGAGACCAAAAGAGATTAAGCAAATTTATTTTAATTTTCAAGTTATTTGTGTTATAGTGTATGCATAACATCTGAGAACATGAGGCTTCGCCAGTGGCTTTACATGGTTTCCAATCTAACAAAGAACTGCTGTTTCTTAGTCTATTCTTATTCTTCTCATGAACACAAAACAGGCAAGTCATGAGGTTCAGACTGCCCTGAAATATTCTCTACTAGAACATTTTTGCATATACAGGACATGTGTACACAGGTACATGCACACACAGACATTAGCATAAGCCTTGCTTTGGATGCCAACTGCATAAATGCAGTCCTAGAGAATCACAGCTTTTGTTTGGGAACAAAAACTCACCTGTACTATATTGTATCTTTTCTTTCTTAGTAACCACCAGAAACTAATCTGACTCCCTCAGTTTTAACACCAGTATTCCCAGAATGAAAGATATGTGGCAATGTGTTTATATACCCTTCCCCCCTATAATTTCCAACCTTCCCTAATGCTCTAATTTCTATCATTTGGGTAGTGTTCTCAGTAAAAGCTTCTGGACATTGCTTATTGATTGAGTTCCCTTGGATCACCAATTTCCAACTTTTCTAAGCTTAGAATCTTGACTCTTCCCTTTGTTACTTGTGGTCAGGAATTAGTTCACTTCCTGTCTTTTTGAAAATTTAGAATTTATTTCACTTCTGAAAGGATAGCAACAACACCTACCCATGTAGGTTTATTGTGAGATTGTGTAAAGAGATAACTTTGTGGATGTTATATGAGAGATCATTTCAGTTAAGAATTAACATAGTGATCAGCACCTACTAAGAATTAAGCAGTATGAAGCTGTGCTATTACCAATGCAGTTATAGTAATAGCTGCAATCATCATTCTACCTCTTTCCAATGTAGCTTTGAGACGTCAGTTTATTTGGCTAGGGAAGATTCATGAATTAATATGGTTCTGGGTTCTCTTCCATGAAACACATCTGCACTTGTAATTACTGTCTCAAATCAGCATGCTGAGCTCTATCCACAATAAATTACATCAATCCTAAAATATGGTCTTCCCAAGGCATGAGATGCCACATGCTGGCCCCAGTAGAAGCTGAGAGAGGATGTGAGAAATGAGTTTGGCCTTGAAAAGCACTTGTTTCCCTTGTGAAGTATTATTTGGATATTATCGTATTTTCTATTATTAACATTAAATATAGCACAATGTAAGTAATTGCTGGGCCAATTCTGCATATTTAAAAAATCTCTTCTCTATTTCTCTTCACAAGTACATGCGCGCACACGCGCGCGCGCACAAACACACACACACACACACACACACACACACACACACACACACCAACAAAACAGTTGAGTAATGTAATCCCCAGGGAGAACACAGACAATAGCTGTGCCTATGGTGAATGTAGACTCAATGTTCTGCAGAAGTTCTGTTGACCCTTGACCAATCTGAAATCTAATTATGGTTACCTTGGGCAGAGAGAGACAGCCAGATAATGACCAATCTTCTTTGCGAAAGCTCAGGTTGAGGTTGTCTATGTTGATTTTGCCTTGGCATGTTCTTAGTGACATCTTCAAAATCTCCAACAAGCTCTTGTTCATTTCAGACAGTGAGCCAGATCTTTGAGGTGATGTGCTGCATAGGGAGGAAAATAAAATACTATGAAAAAAATGGCCTCTGTGTTTTCAGATTGTCCTTCTCATTTCAGCTATTCCCTGTGTTTCACCTAAATCTTGGTAACCTGGAAATGGCCTGAATGTGCAATTTTAATAGATTAGCATACCTAATTTTCACAGAAATGAGCTCTGCAATTTCTTCTCAAGAGGCACAAACCAGCTGGATTCTCACATAGATCTAGGCACCTGAACTGTCTTCTAGTTCCCTTTTCTCATTTGAGAGGAAAATAGAAACAAATAGCACATGATATTCTGGACCTACTTAATCTTTTGCTTTTAAATTTGTTTAATTACAAATAGCTCTCCCAAACTACTGATTGTCAAAGCAAAGCCAAACAGATGCTGCCATATTGTAATGGGGGACTTACACATGAAATCCTCTACTGGGCAGAGGTATTGCATGCTTTCTAACCATCTTCTTTATGTCTGGAGACCTAGTGTTTGGGGAGTGATATTTACTTATAGTCTGAAATGTGAATGTATAGTTATTAAGATAGTCATGCCTGGTTATTTCTTCTTTAAATAATAAGAGAATGGTAGCAGTATCTGGGCACTAAAATGTTAATGTTGGTTTGTTTAACGAACCCTTTACATACAAATTCATTTCTTCCTCCTGATCCACCTTAACCATACCTCTGTGAAGTTCAAACTGATTTACACTTATGAAGTGAAGTGCCAACTGTTCAGATGGAAGCTGTGGCATCCTCATGTCCACATGTACGGGGTTCCTTTCAGTGATGTGCAGACTTTGCCAATCAGATGTCTGTGTTTCTGACTTGTTTACCAGTTTTCCTCCCTCCTTTCTTTCCACACCAGTTGCTAAGGGTCAAGATTCACCAGCCTTTGGTACTTGCTCAGCTGGCTGAATACTGACTGGGAAGGTGCTATGTGTAATGTACTAGAGATGGCATGATTTCTTGAAAGGCTGTTCTAGGAGTATATTTTGTCTGCCTTACTTTAGGAGATGAGTGTGGTAGCCTCCTGCCACAGAGCTCCCACACACAGATGATAATAAGGACTTCCGCCTTAGCTGCAGGCTCAGTCTTATATTTCTATAAACACATTGTCTGCTCTGAACAAAGCAATCCTTCTATGATACACTTAACATGATCTCTTTTTGTGTCTTCATAAACCAGAGATATTTCAGAGTCCTGCAAGTCATGTGATATAACATCTTTAGATACTTGGCAATGCCATTTTATTCAATAAATACTTATTGAGCACCTATCATAGGCAGGTAACTATGTCAGGAATAAGAGAGATACAAAGTTGGCTGGGGTAAAAACCATTCCTAACCACAAATGCCAAATAAAAAATATCCTAATGCAATGCCTGTCAGGAAAATGATATATGGACCATGAGAAAAAGAAATGTAACTGTTACAATAAATTTTTCCACCAAAGCCACCTGATCCCCACCTCCATGCGTGAGCTTTACGCCAGCCGCCCGCCTGAGTTAAGCCCAAATGAATACACAGAAACTTGTATTAGGTTCAAAGCTGCTTGGCCAATGACTAGGATTTCTCATCTGTTAGCTTAGTCTTAATTATCATAAATCTATATATTTTATAAGACGTATCTTATCGGACACCTTATTGGCATTCCTCCTTGCCAGTGGATCACATCGTGCCGCTGGAGCAGGAGCAGAGGGGAAAAGGGGCATACTTCCTGTTTCCTCGCTTAGATATGAGTCTTCTTGCCATGTCACTTCCTGCCTGGATCATCACTTCTCTACTACATTTCCCACAATCCTCTTTGAATCCTAGTCCTTGCTTGCCATTGGCCAAACAGTATTTTATCAACAATCAATAAGATAAACATACAAAGAAGTACATTCCCCATCATCTCCTCTTTTCTGTCTAAATAAAAAGAAGGAAGGGTAACTTATCTTTTATAATAGCTGAAGAAAAAGATTTATAATAACAGAATGGTGTCAGTGAGTGGGATGACCCCAAGCCCCAAGGTTACCAGAGAAAGAGGGAAATCTGCTGCCACAGCCTGCCCTGTTGGGCCGCTGAGAAGCATTGGAGCAGCTTCCATATGCTCAAGACGTCTTGGTGCTCTTGGGCGTTGTACTTGGCACTACCGAGATGATAAAGACAGATCCATATAAAGAAAAACCTCTAAAGGTTTACACTGTGTTTAAAAATATTTGTAGGTTTGTGAGAGAAAACGTAACAGGAGGAAATAGATTAGCCGGTTGTGGTGGCGCACACCGGTAGGATTTGCTGAAGGAAGCAGAGGCAGGGAGAGTTCCACAGAGAAACCCTGTCTCAGAAAAAAAAAAGAAACAAAAGAAAGTAATAAAAAAGCCACATAAGGATGGAAAATACACAGAGAATCTGGATACTATATGCCATATTGTTGTCTTTAAATTGTTTGATAGCTGAGGAAAGACTTACTGCTTCTAAAATACATTTGGTTATAAATGCTGCTAAATTAATCCAACTTATACATTTTAAAAATGCTCTAACTTCAAAATTTAAGATTAAGGACAGGCTACTTAGAAATAAAGGTTTTGCTTGTATTTCTACAGAAAATGAAAAGCTGTGGATTCCTTCCAGACTAATATGGTTTGATCAAGCAAGACCCCCTGAAGCTGAGACGATACAGCCTTACAGACTACAAAAACAAGGACTTGGTTAGGTTTCTATGTTTTATCATGATCCCCATGGTATATGAACATCGCCCCCAATCAGCAGGAAGCAGTTTAGAAGGAATGGCGCCCAAATTCCCAAATACTGTTTATAAAAGTTTGTTTTCATTTAAATGGGGTTAGTTATAAATGATAATGAGCATAGTCAATCTCATTTTAAAGAAAGAAAAGGGGAATAGGATATAGGAATGAATACTTTTCATTGGTATAGATTTTCATTTATTGATACAACCTTGAGGTCAATTTTGTGATAGGTATATGTCTCCTCTTGTTTAGGTATTGTGTTTATGCAGATCTTTTACCTATAATAGTCAGAACTTATAATTAGGTTAGTTAGGTTTTCTAGATACACAGAGATGTATTTGAGATGGATAGGTATTCTTCAAACCTTTCAAAGACCTACAGAAATATGGCATTTAAATGGTTTAGGGTTTTCCTTGGCAGTGAGACATAACTGCTCTTGGTACACCAATTACGTCAGAAAGGAGGATGGGAATCGAAGAAACTCGTTATGGAGTTTGCTTTCAACATGGCAAGATTAGCCATTTGAGAATGAAACTGCTCTTGCCTGGACTGTTTGTTGCTGTATAAACTGGACATGCAGGACCCACAAGAAAGTGACTGCTGAACTTACAAAACAAGACAGTATTGAAGGGTTCCTGTTGAAATGGAAAAGTGTGCCAGACACACTGTGTCCTATGGGCTGAAGATGGATGCCCCAACATTACAGAGGAACTTTGAGTGACTGTCCAGGTATCCAGATGTCTCTGTCAATTCTAGAGTTTATATATTATCCTTCTGTGGTCTTTGATAGAGTTGAAAACAAACAGTTATGGTTATAGTTTTCTTCAGTTATTATAAAAGATAAGTTATCCTTTTTATTTAGACAGAAAAGAGGAGATGATTGGGAATGTACTACTGTGTATTTTTATCTTATTGATTGTTAAATAAAATACTGTTTGGCCAATGAGAGAGCAAGTTAGACTGGACCAGGAGTCAAAGAGGATTCAGGGAAATGAAGTAGAGAAGTGCTGATCCAGGCAGGAAGAAACATAACAAGGAGACTTATATTTAAGCAAAGGAGAAACAGGAAGGGCTCTCTTTTCCCCTCTGCTCCTGCTCCAGCAGCACAATGTGATCCACCGGCAAGGAGGGACGCCAATAAGGCGTCCGATAAGATAAGTCTTATAGAATATATAGAGGGATATAATTTTTAAGACTGAGCAAACAGATGAGAATCCTAGTCATTGGCCAAGCAGCTTTGAACCTAATACAAGTTTCTGTGTATTCATTTGGTCCTAACTCGGGCACGTGGAGCTGGGGCTCAGGCAGCTTTTGGCAGAAAGATTTATTGTAACATGTAACCCCATCCAAGGGCCAGAAATGCCCCCTGTTTAGCACTTATAAGATCTGGGTGGTCAATAAACTTCCAGAACCATAATTTCATAATGTATAGTACATGAGGGCTAGTTGCTGCTTATGTAAATTTTCAGTGGCTCATAACTCCTAGTAACATAGTTGTTTCCTGAGCCACATATAGCTGGAGCATCCACATACTAATACAGTTTTCTGTAGATTATGATCCTATAAGTAGGAGATGAGGCCTGTCCAATTTGGAGATGTGATGTGTCCAGCAGAGTACACTTGGCAATGCAACTTAGTAAAATTTAAGAATCACAGTCAAGGGTTGAATTATAGGAAGGTATTGTTGTTGCAAAGAATGGGCTCTACCTGTGGATAGAGATATACAATGTCTTCTCCCTTAATAGTTAATTCAGTTGGGTAGATCAATCAACTGGCCAAGGGATCACCCCCTAAGGAAGTCAAGTTCACAATAAGCCATGCTAAATAAATGGTAACAATAATTATCCCTTAAATGATCCCCTTAATGATGTCTCAGTCATTTACTGAGCCAAAGCTATGCAGCTTTGGTAAGTCTTTCCAATGTTGAGAGTTACTTGGGAAGGCATAACTTGATTTCCTTCTTTTTATTTCTTTTCTTAGTCTGATTTCCACAACCCTGTGGAGTTCATGTTTTCCTCTAAAGCTCACCTCCACAGCCATGCTGATGCCTGTTTGCCACTTGTCTGACCTCTTTGCTGGCTCAACTCAGATGTCACAGTGTCAAGACATCTCTCTTCCTCTTCATCTTCCTGCCTTGGTTTTTATTTCTAATAAAATTGTCTTTGAGCTTTCTTCTGATTGCTTTGTTAATGAGACTAAGAACCCAAAGGGTAAACACTGATTTTCCTGGGACATGTGACAACTCTGGTGAGACTTGCCAAATTTTCTAGAACATAATCAACTCTACTGCCTGGGTCCAGGGACTTTTATTCCCAGTGCTATAGTTTCTAACTGTTAAGGAGCCCTATTTCTAATTGAAAAGAGATGTAATAAAAATACTTAAAGAAATTTGTATTCATCCATATATTATTATATTATACTTTCAATTGTTCTACTACTGAATTTCACTTCTTACCTCTGCCTGCCTTGAACTTGCTGTGTAGAAAAGGCAACCATGGAACTCAGAGTTATCCTCCTGCTTCTGTTACTTACTTTTAAAATTAATTTTCTCTGTTAGACTACAATACCAAGCATTTCATTAGGACAGTTTTACAAACACATTTCATTATATTTCGCTCTCAATCTTCCTGTTTTTCATGTCCCATTATCCTATGCACACCTCTGACTTATTCCTTTCCTTCCGCAAGAGTGGCCCCCAAGTCTTGCTTCCATTGTTCTTTCTTTTCTTCTATCCCTTTAGTTATCTTTCTCCTCTTCCATGATGCCTTTTTGTTTCCTGACCTATATTCACACAAGTATAAATATGAACACACACACATACACAGGCATGCACATAGATACAAGATATTCAGAAAAGGAAAACATATGTACTGATCTTTGGCTTTATTAACAGTTAAAAATCAATGAGAGGAACTTCATTTAAATTTCTGTTTCCTCAATCTGTAAATTCCTCAGGAACATGGGTGATTCTACCACAAGATCCCGCAATTACAATCTTAAGCATATACCCAAAAGATGCACATTCATACAACAAGGATATCTGTTCAACTATGTTCATAGCAGCATTATTTGTAATGGCCAGGACCTGGAAGCAACATAGATGCCCCTCAACTGAAGGATGGATAGAGAAAATGTGGTACATTTATACAATGGAGTACTAATCAGTGGAAAAAAAAACCAAGGGAATCTTGAAATTTGCAGGCAAATGGATGGCACTAGAAGAAACCATACTGAGTGAGGTAACCCAGTCACAAAAAGACAACCATTGTATGTATTCACTCATATATGGATTTTAGACATGGAGCAGGGGATTGCCAGCCTACAATCCCACCACCAGAGAGTCTGGAAAACAGGGAGGATCCTAAGAGAGACATGCATGGTACCCCAGAGAAGAGGAATGGGACAGGATCTACTGAGCTGATTGGGAGCATGGAGTGAGGGGAGAGGGAGCTTGGAGAAAGAGAGAGTGAGGAGAGAAGGGGAGAGGAGGACATGGGGGAACAGGAAGGTTGTTGAGTCAGGGGAAGAATAGAGGAGAATAGGGTGAGAGATAACATTATAGGTTTGAGTAGACATCTGGCATTAGTGAGTTTTCCAGAGATCTACAAGGATGACACCAACTGGCAACCTAAGCAATAGTGGAGATGCTACCTTAAATGTCCTTCCCCAATAATGAGATTGATGTCTACCTTATATACTATCCTAGAGTCTTAATCTAGTGGCTGATGGAAACAAAGGCAGATACCCATAGCTAATCACTGAACAGAACTCCTGGAACCCAGTTGCAGAGAGGGAGGAGTGATGAACAAAGGGGCCAAGACCAGGTTGGTGAAACCCACAGAAACAGCTGCAGTGAACAAGGGAGAGCTCATGGACCACAGACTGATGGCTGAGAGACCAGCATGGGACTGATCCAGAGCCCCTGAATGCTGGTGTCATCTATAGGGCCTCAGGTAGTGCATCAGCATTTATCACTGGAGTGCGAATGGACTTTGGGAGCCCATTCCACATGGAGAGATGGTCTCTCATCCTGAACACATGGGGGAGGGCCTAAGTCCTGCCCTGGATGATATGACAGACTTTGGAGATGCCCCATGGAGGGCCTCACCCTCCTTGGGGAGCAGAGAGGGGATGGGGTGGGGGATTGGGGACTTTTGGTGGAAGGAAGGGAGGGAGAGAGCGAGCTGAGATTGACATGTGAAGTAAGCTTGTTTCTAAATTAAATTTTTTAAAAGCAAAAAAAGCAAGTTAAAAAGAAGGTGAATCTCTGTTTCCAACTGGACACTGAAAACACAGAAGAGGTGAGTTAATTCTAAGGTTACATAGTTATTCTATGGTAAAGATGTTGAACCCAGGTTTTTAGCAATAAAGCCCATGTTCCTGACAAGTGAAGTCCCTCCCTGTTCTTGGGAAGCATAGAGAATAACACACTTAATTCTGCTTCATGTTTAATATATTTCTCAAATAAACTTTGATAAAAAATCTTTCTGACATTTCTTTTGCTTGCGATTAAACAGAAGTGTTACTGATTTTGTTATTTCAAATCCTTTGCCAATACCATTAATATAGGACTTCTCTGATAAAACCTACTTTTTGGCTCATAATTCATAGGTGAGTTCTACACCCTACATTATTCTTTCTTATTTTGTAATGAGAGTTTTCTTTTTCAAACATAAACACAAAAGCAGATATTTTAATATTAATAAATACATGAAATTAATGCAAATTACTTTCTATACTGAGGGGAAGAGATGAGAGGGAGAGAGTATGGGAAGGGAAAGGAGAAGGAGGGGAAAATGGAGAGAGAGAGAGAGAGAGAGAGAGAGAGAGAGAGAGAGACACTATACACACAAACCAAGTGTTTGTGAACTGGGTATGTTACTCTAGTGAATATGCTACCAGTAACCTGAAAGTTCTAAAAGTCTAGGTCAATGGACTAAATATTTGTTTCACAAGTTCAAACTCTGGAGCCTTAGGTCATGAGGCTAGATCCCTCATGAGAGGAATTAATGCTGTTATAGGAGAGGTTGCAAGGTTTCTATTTTTTCCCCATGTAAGGATTAGAAAGTCACATCTGAAAATCAAAACCTAAGCATCTTCCATCTTAAACTTTGAACTTTCAAAATTATCCAGCAACAGTATTTCAATTCTCTGCTGCAATATAGCCTGAGAGATGGAGGAAGAATATGCCCATGAAAAGGGAAAGAATACCTTTGTCTATGTTGGTTTTGACTTGGAGTTTTCCTTGGGTTATTGTGTAGAGCAGTTCCATTTTTCTGTAAATTATCTGAACTTGCCTCTTTTAAAAACCAAAGTAGCTCTCCATAGTTCACCTAAAAATTAAATAAGAAAACCTTTACTTAATTTTCATTTAAGGGAAAGTGGCCTGTTGGAGCCAGTGTGCTAAGAAAATGTTTACCATTGATAGTTTTTAAAAATCCTATTTAAAAATGCAGGCCCATAATTATTAATGGTTTGGGCTAAATGGTCTTATGTGGACAAATAGCAAAATAGTACCTCCTCATTGTAACCTGGTGGTTGGGTGTAGCCCAACTACTTACATGCTTGGCAGCAACCTTATAGTACACTAAAAGTTTTTGAACATCCAATAACCATATATTCATTCAAAACCCTACATATAAAAGAGTTTTGGCCAATCTCATACAGTATTTACTTCATTGTAGCCTTGGTCTGAGCACACATCATATGTACTTACACTGCATTTGCATCACATTATACAACACCAGTGAGCCCTGTGTGAAACACCTTGCCTCGGACTATAGACCACCATGTGTTGATAACTGCAGGGTCCTTACTGTGCATACAGCTTTCTGCCCATACAGAAATACAGTGGGCTTAATTACAGAAAAAGTGAAGACTTTTGATATTTTTAAAATATAATCATTCCTCAGTATATTTTGTCAACTTAGTGTATTTTTGGATTACATTTTATTCAGATGTTTGGTTTCAAAAGCTGTTGTTTGAATTCCCAATTTGGAGTTTTATGAACATGCATTCAGTGAAGTTTGACATGGGATTAGGACAGATTTTTCAGCTTCAGAAGTAGCATAAGACAGACTTCTGCCATTCTGAACTATAGATTTTTTGTGATGAGATATGCTTAGCATTGACAATACAAAATAATACCCAAGAGATTGGTTTTGACTTGATTTCCTAGTAAAGATCATTGAGGCATCAGGGACATTGAATAGAACAGTCACATGTCCCAGTGTTGCAGCTGCTGGGATTTGGGTCAGCACCCTGGCCTTCCTTTGTGAGGTTTGTTCTTTTTAAGACCTTGTTGTCAATAATACTCACTCATGGTTTTCTTATTGCTATCATTTCCATTTCATGATAACTTCCTGTGGATTTGCCATTTGTCTGTATTTGGACCATAGTGCAATCAGACACAATTGAGCTTCAGCTTAATCCACAAATATAGGCCATATTAAAAGCCACTATGGTCTTATCATTGATAAACACATGTCTCAGCTCTAGGTGTGCCATTAATTCTTTGGGCTCAAGTTTTCAAAATGGTAGTGATAAATTATCTTTTAAATTATATTTCACTTCTGACTTCTATGAAACTGTTATAACACATAAGAAGTCTTAGTCAATCCCTCTACTCTTACCATAAGGCTTGCAGAACAAGTCAGCTCACTACTGGACACAAGGAGGCCCATTGTCTTCAGTCAGTACTGGGTTCATATGTTAGAACAGACAGTGAAAATTGAGACAAGAAAGCTTTTAAAAGAGATACTAAACAGAGTTGAGATCCCTAACTTTATCTCCTAATCTGGTATTTTCTGAAAACTTCTACCATGAATATGAATAAGCTTAGGGATCCATAGGAAAGATGAGACTAACTTCTTAATTTTATTACCCTGTTGGATTAAGGGCAGAGACATAAAAGGAACCCATATATCAGATCACATGATGGCCATACCATTTCAGGATAATCCCTTCTGGAAAATCTTTGACAAAGAAGGTTGACTGTTGGTAGCTGCAGAGGGATTTCAAGCCTTAGAAAGATGTGAATCAGCTCTGACTGGAAGAGAAACCCTGAAGCGATGGGGTCCAGAGTCTTCAGCTCTTTCAGAAGTTTGTCCCACAGTCTGGAGTTCAATGGGTATGACTTGAGTTCTTTTCTGACCAAAGTGAGTAGAAAAGCATCTTCTCCTTTTGTTATACTTGGACTTTGGGCAATTCCCTAACACAACAAAGGACAGAAATATGAGGTGAGGTCTGAAACAAGACAGGTAAAGGCCTGAGGAGGAAACTGAAATTACCAGGGCAGTTGTCACTGCTTGCACATGTAGGGCTGTCATAGGATAAGACAAGATGGGAGTTTCATTAGTTTATGGGACCCAGGATTTGTTCCTTAGGAAGGAAAGAAATCATCTGAGAGGACACACATAGGCTCTTTAACACCCTTCGCTGTCTCACACAATGAACATAAAACATTTCCTCTTGAATAAATTTTAGAACAATAAATTTTAAAGATTTGTCAAATTGACAAGCTTAGTGCTGAGAGTGAAACAAAGATGGAAGCTGAATCAGATTGGGTTAACTGGTACTTCAGGAACCCTTCTGGGAAATTTGGAGTGAAGGGAGGTTTGCCAGTAAAGTACCTAGGGAGGATTCCTGCAAAAATGATGAGCATGGAGATTATGACATGTGTCAGTCCATCCTCAGACTTTCTAATTAGTATTTCACATGAAAACATGAAGTCAATGACTAGTGTGCATCACCTACACAGCTATAGAAAATAGACCAATATTTCAGTATACACACCTCAGGTTGGCTAGAGATCTCCTTTGTTATATGTTCCAAGGACCAGTCTCTAGACTTTCTTCTGGGGAGACAATGTATATAGGAGAGAGACTGATCTGAAGTTGGTGCAGAGCTACAGTAGACATTTCCATCATGGGAAATCTTAAAGAAACAAAGACAAATGTAAGGAAGTAACAGAAATGGGGAAGGAAAAATAAAAAGAGGTAGAATATTAATGATCCAAGCATATTCTTTCAGCAATTCCAGTTCTCAATGAATTTCAGCCCATGTAGTAATCCAGTTACTGAATTTCCAGTGAAGAATTTCAGCAATAGACAATTAATACATGTTGAACAAAAATGTTAACAATTAGATACTGTCTTATCTGTGCAAGAAAGTTGTCTTTCACACACACACACACACACACACACACACACACACACACACTAGGTAGAACATAAGGTGTTTGTAGGAAAAATTGTGTGTACTTATAAGAAATAGAAGTCTTTATAGTATATTTTAATTAGCAAGTTCATAAAGGGTGGTAAAGGCAATTATGAAGTTTGCCAAGAATGAATGAAATTAAAATGTTACTCTCCAAAGTATTATTAAAGTTTATAGCAAAATAATAATGGATTTAGGGTCAAGGCTAAAACATCATCTCATCATGCCACAGAATATGGTGAATTATTGTCGCTTTAACCCTTTTCTGTATTTTATGATGGTTATCAAGTTAGCTGACAGGGCCTTACTGACTAGGGAATATCGATCTGCCTAGGGATAGCTAGGGATCTGCCTGGGGACAGAAAATGACCTGCTTGCAAAAGACTTTTCCATAAGCTAACTAGCTGCTACCTTTATGTAACTGTCATACTTTAAATTTTTGACTAACTAGCACCAGGATTCAGGAGCAATTCTTCTGTCCCAGTTTTGGGGAAATACTTCAACCTAACCAGTAACCTATTTGTGTTGTCCTGCCTTGATCCCAAGAAACTTGACAACTTTGGCCTTCTGTTTTTCCTCCAATGTTCTTTCAACTTTTGATTGAAGTTGGTATTTTCTCCCATGCCCTAAATTGGACAGTGTGTCAAGCTTTCTCAAATGTAGTCAGACAACCACCAGCTCCCCAATAAGGACATGGAGATTTAATAATCATTATGAAAGCTTGGCCTTCAGCTTAGGCTTTTCTAAAACTAGCAATTATAATGTCACAAGCATGCTTTTATTAGTCTACATTTTGCCATGTGGACTAGTTAGTTACCTCTTCTGTGTCCCAAATGTCCAACTTGCTCCATGTCTTGCTGGCTTAATACATGCACCTAGATTCCTTCTCAATGGAAATCCTATCTATCATCTCCTGCCTAACTATTGCCCATCTAGCTTTTTTATTAAAGCAGTCAGAAGGCACCTTGGCAAAGAAACATCTTCACAGTTTACAAAAAGATTATCCCCCAACTTTCCCACTTTTGCTGTAAATAAAAAGGTAAGGTCTTAACTCTAACACAATATAACTATATACAATAAGATCAATTGTCTGGTGAGAATTACATTCACGATGTCCAGTCCATCTGTATTTAGCTAATTTGGAGAAAGCCTGGACAGTCTCCCAAGGTTCATTTGCAACATTGGGGCATCCATCTTCAACATATAGGCCTAAAATATTTGATAGACTTTTCTGTGAAGCAGGAATTTTTGAAAGACTGTCTTACTTTGTCTTGGCAATGGTTGGCAGTGACCCAGTGACCTTCAACAATGTTCATTTGTTTCTTGCTTGTCCAGTTTGGATAGTATACTGCCAGCAGTCAAAACAAGAGCAATTTCTTTGCCAAGTGTCTAACTTCGCCTCAAAGAAAGCAAACTCCACATGATGATCCTTTAATGTCTACCATCCTATTTTGAAGTAAATTGGTGATGCCAGGAGCAGATGTGTCTCACTTTCCTCAGAGCCTTATGTCATTAAAACATTTTAAGTGCCACATTCTGTAGGTCCCTGAAGTCTTTGAATAGTATCTACTTAAAACATATCTCCGTTTGACGTTGAAAATATGCCTAACATGACTATAAGTTTGATTGATATAACTAACTACTAACCCACATTTCTTAATTATCCTAAACAGTTTGTAATAATAACATTTAAGGACTAGAACTTGACATTGCATTTTCAAATGAGGTGCATAAGTACAATACCTCAAACAGGAGAAGAAACATATATGCAATGTGTTAGAACAAAAATAACCTTCAATTTGTATCAATATATAAAAGTCCATACCAATGTAAAATATTTAAGATTAGTAGTTGCTTTTTAGTTTAAAAACAGATTCAATAATCTACCTTTCCTCTATCATTCCTATATCCTGCTTTTTTTCTTTTCAGAATCATATCCCTGAATTTAACCCCATTTGCTTAGACATTTTTCCTGATCATGACCAGGAACAACTTGTAACCAACCCCCCTAAACAGTGACAAACATCTGTAATTCACCAAATGACCAAAAACCCTCCACCATACCTATTAGTATTAGGAATGTGGGCATCATCTTTTCTAGATTGTTTCCTGTTGTCTGGAGGTGACAGCACCTTTAGGAGACCCTGAGAAATTGGAATAATGGTCAAGTCCTGGGAGAGCTAGCTGTATTATTATTTTTTTTTCTTTAGTTTCTGTGTGAAGGGAATGTGTAGATTTTATCTGAAGTCCTGGCTGGAGTAGTCTGAAAGGCTGGACAATCTCAGCTAGCAGCTTTGAAGTTGTGCTGGATGTAGAATTTTGAGGAACCACACTAAAGGCATTTTAAGAGGCTACATCACCTGGGCTACTTGCCTTCTTGGTTTCTTGTCCTTTTTTTCTGAAAACACACAAGCTTTTAAAGGTAACATATATCTGCATTAACACAAGTATGGAATTAAGGTGTTCACAAATCTGTTAAAGATGATTGTTTATTTTATGTTTGAGCAGGTAAAAGATGTCAGTCACTTTATAAGTCTGTTTGGACTGCATAACCAAACTGTAATATAAATCTCTATTCATGCTCTATGAAAGGATGACATGTAATAATAAGTCATAAGGACTCTGTAACCAACAAGATCTTTGTCTCATCCATTCTCAGAGTTATTTCTATGTCAAGGGATAAACTCTTATGTCACCTGTCTTGTAGTTTTCCTTTTTCTTTTTTTCAGGACATCTCCCCCAATAAAATCTTATTTTTATTAATTTTGAATCAAGCCATAGCTTTTTGTTTCCTGGGGAATCAAACACAAAACCTCTCTCCCAAAGCAACATGTCTTTTTTACTTCTATTCTGAAGTTAAGACATTTAAATTTTTTCTCATTCTTTTTATTTGTGTCTTTCACATCCCTTCATATCCAGCCTCTGTCCCTGTGATCCCCCACAAATAAAATACAATAAAATTTAACAGAAGACAGAAAAAAAGAAGAAAAAATTCAGTCTCATCATGGAAGCTGCAGTGTGACACAGGGAGGAAAACTGTAAACGCTTTTATCCATATATCTTTACTTGCAAGTATTCATTGCGGAAAGTGATTAGTCTGGTTTGAGGCCACTGTTTATGCTATACTAGTAATTCTGGGACCTCACTGGAATTTCTCTTGGTTATTCTGCTATTGCCTTGTGTAGTGGAAATCCTGAAGCTTTGGGTCTGCAGGGACCGGTCCTTTCACAGTTTTCCAGCAGATCACAAATTGGATAGTAGTTGGGCCAATACATTGCTTTCATAACTTGAAAAGAGTAAGATGCACAGTAAGGAACTGTGACAGTGGTACAATACAGGGTAAAAAAAAAAGCCCTACTAGAACACCTCATAGATCCACCTAACATTGATTTAGGAGTCCAGGCCAACAGGCAATGTCACCTATGTCTACTTCTTGAAAAAGAAGTTAGATTTGATAGACTAACAAGTGGGTAGGGAGAGGAAGGGAAGAAAGATGACAGAAAAAGGGAAGTTAGTATAGAAAATGCTAAAGGAGTACAGAGTGTACTAGAGAGAAGGAGAGATCTTTTCAGAGTCTAATTTAACTTTGGGACAGGCAAAAGATAAAGCTACAGAGGGAGGCCTGAGTTCCCTTTAGGACTTGTTATGGTCTGTATTTTGTCCAAGGACAATCACAAAATCCTGCTTTAGGATGACAAAACAGTCTGCAATAACTTCAGTCAGTCTTAGTTTTGTGATATTTGTAAGAATTCTTAAAAATGGAGTGTGCTGGATGTCTCTACAATTTTGTTCAAATGACTGCAGAACCTGGAAAAGTTGTTGTTACTATTGATGCATAACATACTGTTATTATTGGTGTACAGCCACATTGGTCTAGAAATGTTAAACTTAATTTTTTTCCATTTGTACAGGGTTAATGCACTGTATCAAATATGTAATGTCTTATCTACGTGGGTTTGATTACAAAAACTAATAAAGTATTTTCTAAATAATGAAAAAAATCCAACTCTTATTTTGAACAGTGCCCCCCCACTGCTTTCTTCCTAAATTTAAGGCAAACTAGATCAAGTTTAACTAGATTCAAATGTAAAAGTAAGTAAAAATAATAATATTTCAAAATAGAAAAAATAAAGTGCAAGAATTTCACGCACACTTAATTTTTCTTGGGGGTTATTAGAAATGTTGGAAGCCAAACAAATCTTAAGTATTGATCTATATGGGTCTAATTTCATTCTTCTACATATGGATGTTCAGTGTTTCCAGCACCATTTATTGAAGATGCTCTCTTTTCTCAGTGTGCATTTTTGGCATCTGTTTCAAATATCAAATGGCTGTAGTTACATGCACTTTTGTTTGAGTCTTTTATGTTGTTCACATGTCTACCTGTCTGTATTTTTATGCCAATACACCACTGTTTCTATTCCTTCAGCTTTTAATATATCTTGAAATGTTGACTTCTGGTACCTCCAGTATTACTCTTTTTACTTAGAATTGCTTTGGCTGTCCTGAGTCCTTTGTAGTTTTGGATGAATTTTAGGATGGCTTTTCTATTTTTGTGAAGAATTTTGTGGGGAAATTGGTTGAGACTACATTGATATTATAAATTTCTTTTAATAGAATGATCATTTTCACAATATTAATTCTACCAGCCAATGAGGATGAGAGTATTTCTATTTCTTAGTATCTTCCTCAATCTCTTTCTTCAAAGATTTAAAGTT